AATAAATCACCTAGAAAAATGTTGATTGATAATCAAAATGATTTTTGGTAAAATTTTCATAAAAACATTGATAACGTTTGTATCGGATAAACCATAGAGTAATACTAGGCTGCACTTTATGGCATTTCATGTTTATTTCATCTATATTTCTTCAAACAATAATAATTCGTGTATATCATCAAATTTCATAGGTCATTCATATAAATATTTATATAAATATATACAATAATCTCTTGTTGAAGAAATGCATGTACCGATATATTATATATTTATTTTTTAAAGATTATACGCATAACTCAATTTATCTATTTATACAAAACTAAACAAAATTTTATTGTACATTCAATTTTTTTATTCCACAGAAATTTCAAACAGTATAGGTACATAGACGCTAATTAATATCTATAATTAGTTATCTAACAAAAAACGAATATAATATAAAACAAAACAAAAGGACCGAGAACAGATGGCATAGATTCATTAAGCAATGGTCATATGCAGTTGGTCCAAGGTAGGAGGTTGCAGGCGCATGCATATTTGGCTCGCAACGACCATGACTGCTGCAGACGACGCCCGACAGGCGACAGCAATGGGCCACGGGAGCGACGGACGGTGGGCGGTGTTTCGTCTCCAAAAACATCAGATAGTTAAATGCAGCGGAACCTGGTCAGCAGATCTGACCTGAAGGATTCCGAGGCGAAAAGCCAGCAATCCAAAGCACAGACCACGCCGATACGTTTTTGACTCGTCGGCAACCGGTTACCACCAGAGTGCGGCCAATTACTGCACGATGCCCTCGGATACGTCGTGATGCACAGGAGCCAATCGAGTTTTACATTTTTGGGGGTGGGTGCTGTGCAACTTAATGAGGTAATGATGCCACGGCACCCCGTTTACTCAAATCGTATTCCAAAAAATAGACGGCCCCGGCGACGATGCGCATTTACTCGCGGTCTTTCCCGTAGGTATTCCTCGCTCCTCTCCCCGAGCTCGTGTCTGTGGAATGGCGTGTCGCCCGGCGGAGAGGAAAGCGGCGGCGTAGCGATGCTATTCGCGGTGCAGACAGCAGCAAAACATCCTGCCAACTGTACCGAGTCGTTTCACGCCGATCGACAGCAGCGACCGACGGCGTGACGGTCTCCGTGGTCTCGCTCCAGGCGCTAGTCTGCCGACAACGTCGCCGAAACTATTTCTGACCATGGATAGTTCGTCATCATCCTCGCCAAAGCGAACGACTGTTCGGACGACGATTGCAGAAGGTTCAGTGTCCGGCCATGCCGTTGCCGGGGCCACGTCACGGTCATGTACCAGCGTGGTATTCATGATGGCTGGCGCCAGGGCTGCAGACGACCGCACCGGCGTTTCAATCGGAGTCGTTTTTGTTGTTTAGGCGGGTGTGACTCTATTTCCGACTTCCGGTACGCCTATGTTTGTGTTATCACATTCGTCGGCAGAATCGGATGTTACGATTGACAGTATAGCACTGTAGCTTTGGTTGTATCTCTATGAGTCCGGCATATGTTCTGTGGAATATCGTCGTTGGTCCCGTGATTTGCCTAATCGTAGTCGCCGCCTTCTTTTTCTTCTTTTTCTTGATGAAGTGATTACGTTCGCCAAATCACCTTATTTTTATTCTCTGATGTATGGTGGCATTCTAACGATATTTCAATTTGCGTTCGATGTATGAGCATTTTTTAATTATAATTTCCAAAATAGGAATCACTGCTAATAACCTATGACGGTAAGTTTGATAACAGGCCAATTCACTCTAATATTTAAGACTGCAGCACAAGATTGGTTCTGGAAAGCTGACAGTGTTGGCGTGTACATATGGATCATGGAGAGGGAACATAATATACTGCATCCTTTTAGTAATAAAACATTTTAAAAGAGTTAATGATTTTAGAAAAACGCACGTATACTATCAGAAGTGACAGGCGACAGGAATGATTCAACGCGGGATAGTAATCGGGCATTTCATGCGTGTGGTCGTAGGTATTATTTATTTATCTGTGGGACCGGAGGCAAAAAAACAAAGTAAAACATAGTATACATGAACATACTAAATTTCTAATCACTTGCAATGTCTCCCGATGTGTATGTGTATATAATGATTATAATATAATATTACGACGACCATCGAGTACAATAAATTATTCAGTTCAGGATGTCGCGTTGAGCCAAAGCATCTAATCTAACGCTACTCTACAAAATACAAATTAATTCCGAAACTTTACACATTTTAACGTTTATAATAGTTATATTTCCGAAAATCCTCATAAAAATAGATACGTAAAGACAAACGTCGTCTAGGCTCTCCGACCGCGCACGCATAATATATATACACTTCAGGCTGAAGCTATATAGGTGCACACGACTGCACGTGTAGATTGTTTCGTGAATGAAGCGGACCATTTGGGCCGGTTGTCACTTTTTCTTTTAAATTTTACATAAATGATTTACACTCGTGGCATCTGAGGAACAGAATCTCGAGCGAGCCAGAGAGCGAGCGTCACACTGTCAGCGCACGCAGGTAATTTATTTATATACTTACACTAACTATAATTTGACACCCCAAACGGGCAGAAACGTAGTCGTTGACGAACGCTTCTGCAGCTGTCACTGACGAGTCTATTATAATCGTAATGTATGAAAGAAACTCTAATTTAGCTACCAAACTATAATATATATATTCATGTAATAACTATAAAAATAGATATATTTAATGGTTTTACACCGCCGATAGCTACAGGTGCTCTATTGAGGTACTACAATTTTGTGACGTTCAACTTTACTAGGCACCTATTTAATACCAGCTATTTGGTACTTATAACTTTTAAGTTATAACACTCGCCATTTCTTTTATAAACACGCTCTGTAAACCATTGTTTTTTGAATAATTCAATTAAGGGGTACCTATATATACTTTGCCTTCTTAAATATATTGTGGGTGACCCATCTCCTTGCGACCCTTCCTGATTCGCAAGCATTGATTATTAAAAATAACAGATTTTTAGAACAACATAATATTTGTTTTTGTACGCTTAAAGCTGCGGGGACACCACGCAGGGCAGATAGAGTGTAGCCAGTGTAGGTACACGATTGTGCACTTTTTACAATTTTCATCTTAGAAAAAAGGAACACGATAAAAGTAAAATCGTGTCGCACCGGTTAAGAGAGCGGTGGTGACCTTAAAATGGGTGTAATATTGTATGCTATATCGTGTATCAATGCTTACAATGTTCTAGAGCGAAACCAACGACTATGGGACCAATTATGGGTGATTTGTCTAAAGAACGCGTCGAACAAATTATGAATTCGAAAATTGTGGTGTAGATTTTGCTGGGCTTATTTGAATAAATGAAAATATAATGAATGAAAAAAATGTCATCTGCAGTTTTCAAGCGTACATTTGTGTTTAACCAAATCTATGCATTTTGAACCAATAGGACACTTAACTATCAGTTCATTTTTATCAGCGTTACAGGGGTTTTGGTCGCGTCGAGAAATGTGTAGTTATAATGTTATACATATTATATATATATATATATATATATTAAACTTACAGACAATGCTGCGAACATTGTCGATAACAGTTAGATTTAAATAATTATTTTTTTATCGTCTGACCACCAAACATTCATCGTAAATGTAACGTTATATCCACTCATTCACCCCACTTTGATGCGTTTTGGGAGTCATCCCTGAAGTCCATAAAAGAACATCTTCATTCTACACCAATAATAAGATATGTAGCACTATATTGACCTTCGAGGAACTTTCAACTGTTTTAACTGAAATCGAAGTGTGTATACGAGTTCTAGACCATTATACCCACTTTTTGTTGGTTCTAACGACTTTTACGTGTTGACTCCAACATGCTTGTTGTAAAAGGTAGATTCTCCAAATCGTTTTCATCTGTGGAAACTAGTCGAGAGATTTGGAACAGGTAGCAATAGTGCCGTAATTTGGTATTATTTGGTTGGAGAGGGATGGGGGGGGGGGGGGTTGAAAAATATACCGTCACTAAAGATAAAAAAAAAGTTGTTTTATATCAGAAGCATCTCTTAGTTACTAAACTGATAATATAATATCAGTATAACAATAATTTGTTAAGAATATAAATTGTGGTCTCGTTGTTATCACTGTATATTATTTCATCCTTATCATTTATTATCATAATAAGACAAAAATAAATTTTCTATGATCTAACACACGGTTAAAAATTTTAAATATAATTTAGTGCTATCTCACTTTTTATTTTCATGCGTGCTAGGTAATTAAAAGTAAAAAATATGTCGATCCGAATTTAATTTATTATTATTTTTATTATTCAACCAGAAAATAAAGAAAGTATTATAAAAACATTAGTACCACGTCTTATGCCTAAGAACAGGCGTCAATTTTTTTTGAATTTTCCTATTTCAAATACAGTAAACGATTTATACGAAGAACCTGAAAATTAGAAACTGCAGCTTTTATTGATATTGTGATAGGAACTAGGAACTAATATTGTGTTACCATAAATTTAAATTTTGTTTTATTTTATTTTTAAAGGATTAAGTATACTGATTATTATTTTATTATTTAAGATTTCATTTATTTTAAACAGCTTTTAAAACAAGCTAAAAAGTATGCACATTGTTTTATTTTGTTTTTTAAATATTTAATTATATATTTAAATAAAGGCTTATAATTATTTTGTAACAATTTTTTTTAACAATAAAAGGAATTTATGCTTATTTGTTTGATAAAACTGCAGTTAGACGTTTTTTACATAATATAAATAATGTTGTGTGATCAATGATCGATCATATATTAAAACAAGGTATGTCCAAAAAAGTCTAAGCAATAATCCGGTAAGTCCATTATTATGGAGTTATCAATTTTTCGCTTAGTACTCCGATATTTGATTTTATGATAAGTCCATTTTCACCTCAAAATATTCAAAAAAGTTGAAATAAAAATTGTTTAACCAATTCTATAAGTAAAATTAGATATATCAGCACAAGTTTTGATGTATTTATCGTATAAACGCAATTTGTATGCTTGATTTACTATTAAAAACGTTATTTGCTGTTTCCCAACAATCATGTTGTATGGAGTTATCCTATTTTCGCTTAGCACGGATGAATTTCCACAAAAAGGCGGTCATCCTCTTCTATTACAAATTGTTTTAAATCCTTTACAATATTACTACGAGCTACCGATAGCTGTGGAGGGTCCGATGAATATGAAGAGTGTATGTCTGCACAATGAGACGTCCCTAAAAACATATTTTTTTTTTTATATATTTTGTTCAATTTAAAAAAAGTTTAAAGATTACCTTCAATAAGAATATCATTGGAATAGTTTGGATGCCATTTTAAACCTAATGTATTCCATGGATCAGTGGATCCTTGTACAAAAACAACCCTGGTCGCTCTTGATCTTGGGTCACCGTACATCATATTGGTTCTATCTACTCCCTTACTTAATGTGTTCAAATTAAAACTAAATAAAATAATTAAAAGATAAGAATTATTTAGGTAATAATAATATTTTTTAACTTGAATTAAAATTTTAATGAAACTAGGAGTCCTTATTTGAAATGTGAGTGCGCTATGCACCTGCCCTACCAAATGGACACAACCAGGAGTGGATCCTGTAAATGTTAACAGAACACGTCCTAATATAAAAGATGGTAATATGCATAACGTTCTACTGCAGTATGGAAGGTATCGAAGGTCACTGTTATTGATGCGTTAAATTTGAATTCGATGATGTATGAAAAACATTGTATAGGAAAAACTTTCTGAGCGGAGATGGTTTATCAGCCTGTATTAAGTTTATAATATTTTCATGATATAATTTTTTGATATTGCTATTAAAGTGACTGATTTTACTATATTAGTATATGGTAGGTTGATTTAATTTTTGCTGAAAATATTTAATTTATTATATGAGTTAATATTTAATTATTGTCAAAGTGTATTGTGTATTAAGTATATTTTTATCATAATATATTATTGCTATATTAACTTCTGAGTCAATACCACCTTACCAAAATACAGTGTGAATAGTAATAGTTTACAGTTCACACCAATCATACCTACATAGTTCAGAGTTTCATACTTTTCTAGTCCAAATGTATATTTTGAAAACGTCTTTGCGTATAGTAAAATTTATAATACGCCCGTGTAAAAGTTTTAAGTCCATAAGAATATGTATTAAAAATGAACCAGGAACGAGCCCAGCAAATAAAAAAATTATGAGACTCTAAAAAAAAAACCAGAGGGGTTAACAGTTCTATGTTTAATTAATTGGGATTTTCAAAATCAGAATAAAATATTGCTGATTTCATAATTTGTTTCTTTGCGAAAGTAATAATAAGAACATTTAAAATGTACGCCACAATAAACCTCTGTAAAATACGCCGCTGATCTCGTTACTTTATTGGGTCACGTCATACCTAAAATGCTGTAACGCACTACGTATTTGTTATTTAATATTTTACATGGAGTGAATTCCATGGTAAAAAATGCATGTAATAGGTACGGCATATTGATAAAGTTATAATTTTCAAGGCATTAATTGAGTGACTTACGATTTTCCAAAAACATCAGTACACAAATCTGTATAGTATTCCAATGGTATAGTATTACCAAATAAGTGATTTTCCCGATTGGATGTTTGAAAATAGCCAAACTCTGTACAGGATTGGTACAACCATTGTCGATCTGAAATAAAATACGGTTTTCTTATTGTGTTGTGACACAAAGCAGATAGCAAAAGATGCTCATAGCACATATAATATATATATTATATATGTATAACCTATTTAAAGAAAAAAAATGTATCATTTTAATTAAAATGGTCATTAATATTTATTATATACTGTGATGAACGTATTTCCAAATAATGTTTGATTTTACTTCATAAACCATCACTATATAATCTTTAATTACAAGAAACATTGAATAATGACATAATAATAAAAGTGTAATAATATTATGTATAATTTAGAGTTTCCAACCATTATACACTAAGAAAGATACTGTCAGACCTAAATTTGTTTGATTTGCTATACATCCAACAATGCTTTAAACCTTATGTAGAAAAATCCTAAATTATAAATCCTTAAATCTCCAAAAGTACAATTCAAATTTAATGAACTTGACAAATAAATGTAGGTTATTTGTGAGAAGACAAAAGTCATGTATTTTGTTGGTAATTGGGCATGATAAAACATTGTCCTGTATTATGCATTATGTAATATATAAAGATACTTAAACCTAAACACCTTGTATATAATCGTATTAGTGAGTATGCAGTACCAGTTTGCAGAATCCTCAATATCGGTTAAACATCGATTTTAAATTATTTTTGATCAAAAAATTTGATACTAACTTCCACTTTTTACTGCTGAACTGTTCCAAGATGACTCTGCAAAATACCTAACTCGCCATTTATATGTATTTGATAAACATTGCTTAGGTTTACCATAAATAGATAAGAATTTTTTGATAACAACCGCATATCTGTCAACCTAAACAAATGTACACATTATACATTATTATTTTACTGGTGTCTTGTAGTTATTAATTGATAGAAATCACTTAGTTATATACCTACTTTAAAGTAAAATAAACGTTTACATTAATTTTACAATATAATTTTCAAACAAGAGGATTCATGAGGACAATACGCATATGGACAGAGGAATTATATGCACAGATACAGTAGGTACACAATAATAGCAGCCATCCATGAATGGCACTGTCAGATTGATATTTTTAGATTCTGAACAAAGTGTGATAATGTAGTTATTGGTTTTATAGTGTGTTTAAAATTGATATGTGTTTTTTTTTAAATTTATGAAGACACTTTAAAAGCCTGATGAATGACTTAAAATATTTAATTTGGTCAATAGTAATGTATATATTAAATTTGAACTCAATGATTTGATACAATATAATGATTTGTATACTAAAAACAATTCTGAGTAAAGATGGTCTGTCAGCCTATAGTATTACTTATAGTATATTTGATGATAGTATTGTTATTAAAGATATTTATTTTATTATTTGGCATTAGTACTACAGTATGATAAATTTATTTTTGGAAAAAATGTCCTTTGAAAATGTCATCATGTGTATATCAATTGTGCCAATGGAACTTTGGTATTTATCAACTGATATTATAAATTCGAAATTCAGACGCTCATCAAAAATTATTATGGATTTAAGTCAACTTTTTTTTTAATTTCCAATAACAACAACAAATGGGGAACCTTTTATTACAATTAATTGCAAGGTTCTTTGACTCAGCTTACAATTTTTTATCAACATTTATTTCAAAAAAAGCTAATAATATAGTCGAACATTTCATATGCCTACAAAATAGTTTAACACGAGTCAAAAATATTTTGAAATTGTTTCCATGTATATAAAACGCTAATATAAGCATTTAGACATCCAGTGAAGATTTCATATATTTACGATCATTTGTTTTAGAGTTATCTATTTTGTCGAAAACTAATTTTGAGTAAAAATTATTGTTTTCCCTTAAATTTTTTTTCCCTGAAAAATACTGTGGATTTTAAACTTTGACCTCCCTAATGCACCAACTAGATACACTTTCCCACTGGAAAAGATACTGAAATTGAAAATCGAAGCATTATTTCGACTACTTATCGTGTACACAGACACACACATAAAAAAAAAAAATAATAATAAAGATAACACATTATTGTAAATTCATATAGCCCCGCTCAGAATCTAATATAAAAAAACAAAAATATTACAGATCAGCAGTTTTTGAAATATTCTATTTTGTTTTTGTTGTTGTTATTATTGTTTTTATTCACAACCTGTAGACCGTAGAGACTTTTCTATATTTCCAACACATAAAATATTAAAATATTAAAATATTAAAAATATTATAATTATATTAAATATTAAAATATTAAAATATTTTGTTTCTCTTCGACCTATGTATAAACATAAATACATTTGATATTTTTGAATGTTATTCGAGTTTCTTCGAGGTGTGTTGATGAAATGGTTTTTTCTTTGTTAAAAAGCTTGAAAAAGTAATATTAAGTGCTCAAACCTTATTCTTATAGCAGAAATGATTACATACTCATAAATATTATTATTTGAATGAGCGTTTGAAGAACAAAATTGCAAATAATTTATGGAA